GAGGACTTACAACCAACCTCAAAACTAACCTTTAGGATAGATATGGAGTAAGAGGGAAAGATTTCATGATATTATTCAGCATATATAAATTAAAAACATTAATTACAAGTGACGAAGGAATACAGTTTTTTTCCCTCTGGTTAATATTGCTCAGTTTTGAAAGTTTGGAAAAATTGAAGCGAAATGAAATAAAGCTGCAAAAGACGTTGCAAGAGATTATTTTTCACAATCCAATATGGCAACTGAAATGAAATAATTTAATATAAAGGATTAAACAGTGATTGCTATTGTTACATTACTATACGTAGACAAGGGCTATCGATAGACATGGGTAGCCACTTCCAACAAAATTAGCATTTATACATGATCTTCGATTAATATTAACGGAAGTGATTGGGTGGTATATGGCAAAATTTTATTCTCTGTTAACAGAAGATGAATTACGTTTCGAACATTTCTCGGCAAACATGAGGCTATCAAATTGAAAATATAGTGTAGAATATATTTACAAAAAAAGAAGAAAATTAATTTGATGAACACTTTTCAAGTACAAATCTCGTCTTACTTTGATAAGAATGCTAATTACCTTAAAACAGTCATGATATACCTTAAAGTCTGAATTAAACATTTATATGTTACTAATTAAATAATATCAATTGATTTCACCAAGAATCCAATCTTCTTTACCGTCTGGACAACGTACTGTCTGCTCATCGGTTTCTCTAAAATAAATTAGAAATGGTAGAGTAATATTATCAAGTTCGATTATTACTGAATGATATGTAGTGTAACATGTACACATAGCAACTGGATACCAGTTGGAATTTTTCGATTCCGTTTCTCGATGTTAATTTACGATAATTGAAATATTATATGTTTCTATAATGATTAACGTATTTAATGACAAAAACGTGTAATGCTTTAATTTTCATAAATTAATGTCGAGGAATGAACAAATCTTTGGATTTTGCAATTTATCATAGTGTTCACAAGTTCAGTTTGAATTTTATTTGAGTAGTGGTTTCGGAGACGTAAATATTAATTTTTCTAACATTCTCTAACGTAATATTAATTTTTCCAACGAAGGCATGGAAATTTTACTGAGGAAGGTTATTTGTCATTATTGTCAAAGTAGAACTGGCCGTAAATCACCTTGCTCTCTATATCATAAGAAGATATCAAGTTTACCTCACCCATCATCTTATTGCATTTCGGAATAACTTCGAAGACCTCTGAAATTGATCATAGTTATCATAGCATCAACTGAAAATAATAATGAATCAATCGATTCTTGCCTAATTAATCTGACCAACAGATTGATCGGAATAATTAACTGACTTACTGACGATGATCTAATTTTATCGATGTTAAACATGGCAATAATAGCATCATTTCACCATTCTTTGTCATTTTATTTAAAAAAAAAAGCTTTTCTTAAGAAATCATATTTGCAAAAATTTGAAAATGACAAATGTTTCAGTGTTTGTCTTGAGATGATATGTAAGATGGCAAGTATTACAATGCTTATTTCCTTTTTTGTTGTTCTTTTTTTTAACCTGTCACCTAAAGTTTAATCTTTTTTTTTTAAATTTACTGCTAGATCTAAGTAACAAAAATTAGATGGCATAGCTACGAGTTATATATCGCAATGATGTCACTGTTACACGAAACGAATTATCCCTGATTTATCTAATTAGTCCAACTCATTGTTATGCAACATGTTAATATCCAAGCAATAACTATCTAACGAGACGATGGAGTGACTGTATCATTAACCATCTGGTTCAATAGTCAAAAGAATATTCCTATTCGGTTTTCTATTCCTTGGAAACTACATTAACTTTAAGCTACTCTTTAAATGTAACAGTAATTCTTGACACTTAACACTAACATAGTACTGTACAACAGTTGCAAATTCTTTTTGCTCATTTGATCACATATATGTATATCTATTGATAAATTTTTACATTCACATTTACAATTACAATCACATTTATGCATTTATACAATCACACAAGTATAAACACATGCACATAACCTAATACATGATATCATCGGGAATCATGTGAAGCATCGGAAAAGAGGCCTGCTAATTTTCACACCGATCAGAAGCAACAAAGACGACCATCGAATTCATCAAGAATCTAAAAATTCCCACTCTATAAAATATTTATTAATTAATCAGGGCATCAATTATGTAAGCAAGGAGGCAGAGTTAGGCAACACATGCCATTTTTGCGACTATACAGTTCTAAAATTTTAATAACCGATTCAATTCGTTTTGAAAATAACTCAAGCGTAAAAATTAAGACAAAAAGGAGAAGAGATGGAAAAGAGGGAGGGATTGAGGTGACATTTCTACAATCAGCTATTTGATAATGACAGGAAAAAAATTAAACCTACTTCCTTTTGATATTCGACTCCCTGTTTAACTTCGTGTGCAATCTGCTGAAACTTCGTCACTTTAGCTTGCAATATCATATGGCGCATCTTCTCCATCAAATCATCTTCCACAAGCTTCAGTTGGCTTTACATTTGAATCACTCTTTCTTTTATTTTGATTCGATGCTTCTTCGCATCGATACATTGCTGAAGGACTAGTGAACGCAGTCTTCGTATTTCCCTGCAACATTTTGAGTAATTGATCAACAACAAATAGGGCCATTCTTCTAAATGATGAAATGATGTAAAAAAGGTTGAAATGAATTATAACAAACAGCAATAGTAGATTTTATTAATCGGCAAGGCAAAAAATGGTAGGGGAAGTTTAGTTTCTGGACTTACATGTCCGTCTTCGATATCAGCGAGGAAGTACTCAAAGAACTGTCGCTCTGATCTTTGCTGTCGCGTTGATCATTTCTTCCAGATGACTGCTGCCGGAGCTAAAAACGGAGAAATTCAAGCAACGGAATCATTAATATATTCCTGTTCCAGAACCAAATCTTGGCAAAAAGCTATCAGCATTAAGACTCGAATAGTTTTGGAGAAAAAGCCATAACAGCAACCTCTTTCAATCTAGGTGCAAGCTTGTTTCTATCCATAAGTATTCCTTCACGTTTCATCGTCCAGTCATTTTCTTCATTTTCGAATTTCCATCTTTCGTCATCGAATTTTTTCTTTTCTGACTGCCACATTTGTTCCATTTTTATTCGCCGAACTTTCTCATTATCTGGTTTCATCGCCATCATTAGATACTAGAAAAGAGGATGTCAAACGATTAAAGAAAAATGTGTCGGCAGAATTTTCCGCATTCCAGGATGCCTGAATGTTAAACACGCTTAGAAAAAAGAAGCAAATGTTCAAGGCTGAGATAATATCAACACTTTCAAGGCGATTTCAATAAGTCATCTTTTTTGCCCTTCCTTATCTCATCTAAATAATGAATTAAATAAATTACAAATAATTTGACTTACTTTTTTAGTGAAATCCTTTTCTTCATTGTTCAGTATTGGCGATAATTTTTCGTTCAGCAGAAATAGTCATGCTTTCAAGTCGAACATTTCCGCTTTCAGCTGTTTGTTTTCTTCCATAGTTTCAGCAATACTTACGTAAGGACGGCGACGTGGAAGTGATGATGTGCCTAAGTTATTCAGCAAATGCGGCAATATTTAGGAACAATTATGGACAAAATCAGAAATCTACCAACATTTCCATTTTGATTGAAGGCAAGGAAAATATGATTATAAATGTACCTTTACTGAAAGCTGTCGCGACAGGTGTTGCTTCTTCCATCAGCAAATCCTGCATGTCGCCCTGATTATTTCGGTTGCTGTTCACGAAATTATACTCAAATTCATTATCCCTTGTGGTTTTTCCAAATGCCATCCTAAATTAATGTCTTCCCTTTATAACTTTCACAGAAGTCGCCACTTCCCTAGATTATTAATGCAACTGATAACTCCTTGAAAAGACTCGCAATTGTGACTCAATGAAACAGCAATATCATTCCTATAGGTGGCCATCAGGATGGGCCAGTGAAGGATAAATTGCTTGATAATAATGATAATAGGGAGAGAGAGAAGGAATGAGGTTACCTTTCTATAATTATTATTTTCTCAAAATGACGGAGAAAAAGAATTAAACTTACCTCTTTCCGATATTCCTGTTTAGTTTATAGTGCAATTTTTTATCATTCGAGAACTTCTTATCTTTCATCATTTTCCCTTCTTCGGCTACACCGATGGGTTCTAGAAATTTTTCTTTGACCATTTCTGCGGCTTCTGTAATAAACAGGAAACCTCTCGAACTCACTGGCTTGATTAAGGAAGACAAGAAGGTGGTCAAAAAAAATCTTCTTGAACCCGTTGATAGTCAATGGTTGTTCACCCTCGACAGCACTTTTTTGAAGACTATAAAAGAAAATAGTTGTAGTAGGAATATTGTAAAATAAAAATTTTTTAAACTAAATTTTATCGAAACATTCAGTCAAACAGAAAGTGTTATTTTTCCTTGCTAATATTCAAAGTTGGCGTTTAACTTTTTTTTGATGAGTGATGAGTGCAATATATGTTGGTTGTATTTAAGCGGCTAATGATGGTCAAACTGGTCTAGGTAGTCCTGGTTGTCTAATTGGACGAATTGGACCTGATAAATTTAAATTTTAATATTCAATTTCTACGGGAAATTTACCCCATCAATGATTAACCTTTTTCGCCTTTCATAGTATAACGATGTTGATGAGGATTACATGGAAGTAATTCTTTACTTTCAGTTGGGCGACGAATCAGTACTTCCAACATGCAGCCCACTTTTTTTATGCTGTAATCACTGAAGAACTTAACTTTCAATTACCATGATTTCAGTCCTTAATTAATTTGCCTGAAGAAAGAACTAAAACAAAAGTATGACTTCAAACCTAAATTCGGTCATCTCTAGTAATCCGGTCAATATCTTCAGGATCCAACCTTTCACGGTGACTTGGAACTTCTGCAAGGTTTGGAAATCCCCGCTGTACGATTCCCGGTAGTCCTCTTGATCCTAAAATGTTGAGCTGCTACTTTGTAGTATGCAATACTTATCATCTTATATAAATTACGCATAACAGATCATTTTCTGACTCTTGCAAACTTTATCATCAAACCTTAATGGATACCTCAATGGGACTAAATGCTATCCTCTTCGTTTGACACTTGCTTATACACTGCCATTTTAACCTTTAACCCAATCGTTCCCCAGAAATCCTATCTATACAACGAATCATTTTTTGACTCTTGTAAACTTCATTGTCAACATTAAATGATTATTCTCCCTGCCATTTACAACCGCTATTTCAACTTTCATCTAACCTCTCCCAAGAAATCCTGTATGTCCGATAAATCATTCGTTGATATTTTGCGTCCTTACTATTACTGATTATTTCATCGGATTTTTGGTTGGTATATGATTATTGTCATACCAAGGAAATGGATTATTATCTTACCAATTATTATTACTTTATTACCCTCAGCAACACTGAAAAAGAAAAAAAAAGAAGACAATTAGTGCGAAAAAGTGTCTGACATGCATTTTTGGTGCTCATTTTGTGAGAAGATTATTATGTCAAGGTGATTTATCAAGATAATTCGAAATTATATAAAGCTATTTCATTACATCCCAGGATTTGCAAATTTGAATGGCAAGAAAAAGTAAAAAACAAATTAAAGCGTAAGCTAATTTATGCTCTAATAGGGGGAAAAAAAATTCAAATATTAGACCACATGTGGCGAATAGTAGACAGTATTGATAAAGAAAAGAAGTTATTACTCATAT